TATTATTCAGTTCATGTAGCGACATGTATAAAATATATTTAACTCATTTATTTGTATATTTTATGGTTTGTTTCGTTTATCTGTTATGGCAACATTTTCTACGTAGATGGGCTGTTTAGTGTTACAAGAAGATAAATAATTAATTCCAAATTATGATACCTGGAGATTTCTAACATAACATGTTTATTATCTGGAATATACTTCCTCTTCTTGAATTAGGATGCACACAGACTGATCATTTTTATCGTGTTTGTTACTAGGAATAAATCTCCTGCAACCGAGATAGAATAACTTAAAGTTGATAATATATCATGTTTGTTATTGGAAACACCTCGCTCTCATCTTTCTTATATTTGGGCAATTTAATTTTAAAGTTTCTCTCCAGTGGTGATTTAATTTTTTTTTCTATTACAATTTACGGCCTGGCATGATCTAGTGGTTAGGGTGTTCGACTAGCATCTGTGGCTCGCGGGTTATCACTGGACGTGCTCGCCCTTTCAACTGTGGGGTGTTCCAATGTGACAGTCAATCTCACCATTCGATTAAAATAGTCCAGTCTTTGGCGGTGGGTTGTGTTGACTAGGTACCTTCCCTCTAGTCTATCGGTTCTAAATTAGGGAGACTAGAGCAAATAACCAATGAATAGGTTTTCGCAAAATTCTACGAAATTTTTAAGTTTATTTTCAAAATTTGATGCGCTATTTATTTATTTATCATTTCAAACGCTTTAAACGTTATATTTTCCTCATGCGCTTTTCAGATTAATTCTACTACTTGATTGCTTTATCTTCTTATATTTTACCCCCGAAAATAAAATTATTTTAACTGAACCAAAACATTTTCATAGTTTTATGCAACTTGCCTCTATAATTCTTGGGGGTGGGGAGCTATTGAAGTTATTTGGCAATGTAACACTAATTTTCATACATAAATGTAAGTGATGTTTCAGTATCATGTCAATCCAGCAAAAACAAATTGTATTTGATTAGTGCTGCCATCTATTGTTGAAAGGTAGAGTGATACAAAATCCTGAAAAAATAGGTTGTCTCATCGTTAGTAGCCTCTGCAAAACTTAAGTTTAATTATTAGTATATTTGTTTTCTAACAGTACGGGCCAAGACCGAACCTCGAATCCCATCGCTACACACAATACAGCAGCAAATCAACAGACTTAACGTAAGATAAGAAGTAATTAATATCTAGTGATAAAATAAAAAGTAACTTATTAATCACGAGCTGGAGTGAAGTAGTCTTATTTGTAACAAAGGATTGGACATTTTTTGCTTAACATCATAAACATTATGTTAATAAAAAGTGTAATAAAAATACATAAAAGTACCAATACTGAAAAGAATAACATACTGTTTTCAAGAATTCTAATAATAGTGGTTACATAGTCATTCTAATGCAGAGGGATATACACCATTGGTAGTGTTTCCAAGAGTAGATATGAAATTAGATAGGGGGTCAACTCCCCATGACTTTCCTCACGTCATCATGTACCACTGTGTCAAATTTGGTGTTGATTGATCAAGAAATGTGGAAACGTATAAGGAACAGATACACAGACATACACGCTCACATATTGACGTTTAGTTATGTAGATTAGACTTGGATGATCATATAGGTTATGACAAAGATTGATTTCATTTCGTCACAACTTTATCGTAATTAGCTTATCTTTAGGCTTTGTGTTTTCTGTCTTCTTCTAACCCATGGGCCGAGTGTGGTCGTGTTTAGCGTGCTCGAGCTAAAAATCCAAGGCTTTATTTTTGATGGCTTGTTGCTGCATTCCCTCGGTGGTACAGTGGCAAGACTACGGACTTACAATGCTAAAATCTGGAGTTCGATTCCCCGCGGTGGATACAGCAAATAGCCCAATGTGGCTTTGCTTTAAAACAAACATACAGCGGTAAGTTTGCGGACTTATAACACTAGATATCGGGTATCGATATCCTTGGTGGGCACAGCACAGATAGCCCACTGTGTAGCTTTGTACTTAACTACAAACAAACAAATTGGTACCGTAAAAACGTTATTCGCACTTCGAGGCTATTGTTGCGCTGTAAGAGTGACGGTCAAATTCTGCTATTCGGTCAGACTAGAGATACTGTAGACATTAGTTACTCAAACTACAAACCCCTATTTTGGTTCTATGCTGTTACCTAGAACTGCATTTGGTGGAGTCAAAACAGAGATGTGTAATCTGAGTAAATAATGTATACGGTAACTCCAGCCTTGTTTGCTTACACCCCAGTGGCAAAGCAGATTGTTTGCGGACTAACAACGCTAGAAATCGGGTTTCGATATCCGTGGTGGACAGAGCACAGATAGTCCATTGTGTAGTTTTGTGCTTAACTACAAACAAACAAAATATGTTGCAGTTTTTAAAATTCTAATTTTTCTATATATTTGTTTGCTGGCTTTTTTATACTCATCTATGGGTAAAGGATTACTTGATATGATCGCTAACTTTAAACGTTGTAATGATAATAAATATAGCTAGTTGGTAGCTGATGATTTACTGTAGCTATTGACTATTTGATCGCATTAGTTCGAGATGTAAAATGTGAAGGTGTAGCTGGAGATTGTCATGGAGATTTGTTTGAGAATATAGTGAGCATTTATATTTTCTGTGTAACTAAATTCTCTATATATAATGTATAGCAATGGACAAAACTTTGCCTAGACTAAGACGCAACCCTCACTAAGCACAAATGCAATTTTACCAGTAGAAAAGCAGCCTTTTGAAATAAAACATATGCGTATAAAACATCGCTTTAGATAAACCTTCATGTCTTTTAAAGTAATTATTCTACGAATGTGTGTAATAAAATTTCATATTATGTGTATTGATTTTTTTACTCCTTCACTGCATACCTAATATAAAAGTTGGCTCCCTAAAGACACCGATTGTATAGTGTACAAAGCATTGAGTATCTACATCGTACGGTTATTTAACGTTCATCTATTATAGGTTGGAAATTTCTGTTACATCCTGTACTTAAGCTTTTTAAAGGAACACTAGATAATTGTAGGAAAGCTAACTTCAAGGGGTAATGGTAAGGTCATTTACACTAGAATTATGATGTTTTTTAGCTTATGTAAAAATATAGAAGAAACAAATTGACTTTTCAATACCCCTACGACCTTCGCAATACCTTATTTAGTATTCTACAAAAGGTTTGGGTGCAATATAGCAAGCCATTTCTGTTGTAGGCTCACAAGAGAATAAGAATTACAAACGAGCCATTTTGAACGGTTTCATACCTTGTAAACCAAACAATATTTGTTTCATACTTTGTAAACCGAACAATATTTATTGTTTCATATCTTGTAAAACGAACAGTGCTTATTGTTTCATATCTTGTAAAACGAACAGTGCTTATTGTTTCTTATCTTGT